AGCGCTGCATGGCAACTTTGATCTGATTTACGTGAAATTTTCATGTTTTGGTCCGCACGTGTTACGCCTGCACGTGACGCGGCCGCAGCACACCCCGAGTTGTGTGGAGTGCGAGGGCCCGTTCATCGCTGCTTGCAGCTTTAATTTAAATTGAACTTTGTTTACATCCATATTACTAGCTGCAGTCTTCTTCTTCCCTGACTTTGCTGGTGCCCTCTGTTGATCAGTGAAATGGTGTCACAGAGACGACGTCCATTTTTATTGATTCTGTCTATGGTTGGAATGTGTATTGCATCACACACAAAATAGCTCCAATGCTAAAGGTCAACAGGGGATCTTTAAAACCACTGGTGAGGTCCTTCACAGATTTGTTGTAACTTATGTAATCACAAGTTGACTCAAATTTAACAATACAATTTGGGCTCCTCAAAAGCTTACCAAAAATTTAAAATTTTAATTTAAAATGTATGTGTAGTTAAACACCTTCTCAACACAGTTCAACACAACACTTCTAAGAACTGCACAGTACAACACAGCACAACAAGAAGCCAACAGAAAAAGAGAAGGGAGAGGCAAAGATAACTGGTAGAGAGGCAGGAAGGGAAGCACTACTAAATTAAAAATGAAGTCTACAAACAGGAAAAAGGATGTTTTTCTTCATGAGTTCATGTCATTACCTAGCATTGAGAGAGTAAGGCTGCTACTGGCTCTGCACTTACTTCTCTCTTCAACTCAAAAAGGAGGAAAGAGGAGGAAGAGGAGAAGGAAGAGGAAGGCTCTCCAAACCAAGAGGAAGTAAGGGAGGTGGAGGTGGGTTGGTGGGTGGCAGGGGGGTTGGGGTGGATAAGAAGTGTCGGGGTGAGTTAGGTGAGTGGAGGAAGGTAGGAGAGGAGTGGTGGAGAAGAGGGAAGAGGTGGCAGTGGGGTTCTTGGGAGATCAGAGATATAGACTGGTGGTAGGGAGCAATGTTACCTCTAAGGCTGTGGACGCACCAACATGATACTGAATACATATTCAACAGTTGATCTGTTAATTAGCCCTAGTTAGAGATTTTTCTTTTTGCATTATTGCACTGTTTAACACCACTTTGTGTGCAAAAGTTACCAAACCCCAAACCCAAATTTATGTCAAACCTCAGGACAAATAATAATAGTTTGATCAACTGTAAAGATGTTTTTATCTTCACACCTGACAATAAATAGCTCAGAAAGGACTCCTTAAAGGACCAGTGTGTAGGATTTAGTGGCATCTAGTGGTAAAGTTGCAGGTTGTAACCATGTAACCCCAATAAACTCACCAAAGGACCAATCTACAGTCAGTGTTTGGTTTGTCAATTCTGGGCTACTGTAGAAACATGCTGGTTTAACATGGCGGACTCCATAGATGAGGACCTGCTCCCCTGTAAATGAAAATAGCTCATTCTAAGTTAACAAAAATATATATAATTAGTTTCAGGTGATTATACACTTAATGAAAAACATAACTATGAATATTATATTCAATTTCTGACAATAGATCCATCCTAAATGTTAACCACACTGGACCTTTAAGACAAAATCCACACAATTAAGTGTCTGTGGTCTATTGGGCATCTATGGTGGGGGTCCTTGACATAAAAATATTTGGGAAGCCCTGGATCCCTTTGACATATCTGACTGTATAAAACCATTTCAGGCAATGTCAATTTGATGCAAAAGCTTTATGACAGTATTGGATTGGAAGGTTTTTTGCATTGATGCAAGGAAATTCTTTAAATCATCAGGTATTTATTTTACTAGATTTACCATCTGGTTACTCCGTCTTTAGATAATGTCCATAGCACTGATGTTAGACTTCAGTTTGTCATCTGGTGTTTGGGTTCTATTTCTGAGCTATATTTTATTTTGCTACACAAATCTTGTTTTTCAGAAATATGTTTTGATATTTCTGAGTAAAGGTTATTATCTAAAAAATGAGAAGACACTAACAAACTAAGTAAGAGGCCAGCAACATTCTGCATTTATACAGTGTTTGACAACTGTTTAAAAAACTCTTTCTTCTGACAACTTTACTTCTGCCAGATTCACTGAGTGCTGAAGCAGCACAACCCTGCAGGTCTTTCTCCGTAATGGAGATCTGGTCAAAAATGTTAAATAGCTAACTAGCCAACAGGCTAATTAAAAAGCAAAAATGATCAACTACTACTACAACTCAGAATTCCAAGTGATGTCACTATCTACTAATGCCCTCGTGCTCAAATTGCATCGTATCGCCTTGTATAAACTGTCAACTGATCAGAACATGTTGGTATTTATTATAGGTTTATAATAATATGATATCATAACAGAATCATTTCTCAGATTGTGGCTGACAATATATTAATATATCATCATTTGTCAAGTGACACACAGTCTAGTCTTCCATAACAATTATTCAGAATTATAGTATTGATAAAATATATATTGTTAAACAGGCAAGAGGTATTTTAATTCATATTGGTTAATTAGACCAACAAAGTAAAAAACAGCCAGTTTAGTGATTTAACTGTTGAAACTTAAAATTAATAAATGTTTAAGTAAATGAACTAGTTGTAAGCTAGTTGTAAGTTGCTAAATCATTTATTCTTTTTAGCAAAAATGATAAACCTGTTTGGGATTTGGGACTGTTGGTCAAACAAAAGATGCAGTTTGATGACATCACTTGGGCTTTGGGAAATTTTGAAGGGCAAATTATCAATGTGCTCTGACATTTTAAAAAACACACGATTAATCGATAATGACAATAATTGTTGCAAATAGTTGCATTCGTAATACTAATTAATGTGACATACCATCTGCACAATATAATTTTAAAAGACTAAATACATTTAATGTAACATTTCAAAGATCCAAGGACATAGACACAACAAGGACCAATATATATTATATTTTGTTATATTCTGTCTGATGTCTGAAGATTGAATCATAAAGCCCTCATATTACCAGCTCTAGTGTGTCCCCAGCCTTAGCCAGTGATATCCAATCATCTTTTCTTGCTATGTAAATCTGTAGTTGTCATTCCAACCAAACACTAAAGCAATGCAGGGACTTTGTTGGAAAAGACCCTGGACTTTGGCTCACAGCAGCCCACCAAACTGGGATGCAGATCCACTGATCCCTTACAGGGTTGCAATATAAAGCAGCAACATTACAACATTACATTTTTAATGTAGAAAAGTATAAAATTTCTTTTTTTGTTCCCCAGTGCATCTTGTCTTCTACTTTGGGCTTCAGTACGTTTGACCAATTGTTTAGTGCCCTGTGCTTTTAGCTCTTAAACTTTCATGAGAATCTTCCTTTGAAAATACCCAGAATGCACTGCAAGAAGCAGCCCACATCTTTGCTCATCAACTGAAGGGAGCACCACTACATCTCCAACAGGCCCTTATAATTTTGTCAAAGCAAAGTAAAAACAGCTTTAGCTGATCAAATAAAGTTTGAGGCTGTTTCAAATCACTCTCTAGTTCAGTATATAGTGAGTTGTAACAATCAAATACACAGGTAGTGTCTTGAATGCACAAAATCAAGATAAATTAGAGAGCAAGATTAATATTCCTATTATATGTTAGCGCTGAGCTAACAGACAAAGTGCTAATTATTGCCACATGACTGTAGCAATTATACTAGCTATGTTAAGGGTTATTTCAACAATATGCTACACTTTAAAGTCAATTGAATATGCTCTGTAACATACAATATGTGATTTAATGTGTTTGTGTGTTATTCAGTTTTACAGAGCGATGGCAACAAATAAATAGTCTAAAACTAAAAGCCTTTGTTTCTCATTTGGAGAACTGTTTATCTGCCGAATTAAACACAATGTTCAGGGAGGGCAAAATAGGATGCATAGTCATCATTTATCAGACTTTATATCATTTATATTGTTTATAATAGATTATCAGTTTTATTGGCAGATTCGCTTGCGGTCCTGGATAAAATAGATGCCCAAACAAGCTCCATCTATTGACCTACACAACCGCCAACTCTACCTTAACTAAAGTGCAGTGTTTGCTATATACCTGCATTCACCAGCTACATCCGACAGATGACTTAACCTGCCTGAATGCTGTACACTCAAATAACTCTAATGGACCACTGAAGTTCATGTCGCCCACTGATCTGCATGATGGACGGATCCCTGAGCTGTGGGAGACTACTGACCACATGGTTGCCCTGCCATCCCTTCAGTCATGGTTATCTTTAAAAACATCCAATATTCAACTATGCAACACATTGTATGTTCTCTCTGTGTTCATTATATGTACATATTTTAGTAGTAGTTCCCAAGGACTACAAGAGGGACTTGTAGTGTGTTTGCTATGAATACTATTTTCACCACATTATTTATTCAGTGGGAAGAACACATTTTGTGGCATTGTGGTTAAATATAACTCTGGAAACGTTCAAAGGAGCTAATATCAAGTGCTCTGAAATGACTTTGGCACTGGGATAACCAAAGACTTTGACAGGACATTCCTTTTAGACTAGTATTTCATGATCTATGGAACTTGAAAATAATAACTGAATGTCCTAGGACAGCAGCTATGCACATCTGGAACCCGTGGCTGAATTCCCCGTAATTTTAGAATGTGCACCCATCCACTCCAGTATCAGATTCCACTTATTGGTTTGACCTTCTCTAACTTATGTTGTTCTTCAGCAAAGTCAGAGTTTGGCAGGACTGAAGACCTGACCTCTCATAGGACTGGACACCACTGACTCAGAGGAAACATTGGTGAAGAAAGTAAGTCGTGGAGAAAGGGGAGGTAACAGAGGGTAGAAGGGTGAATCGACTGGTTTTGGATGGGAGTCAGGGAGGAATTATTTACCTGTAAGAAATGGCAAGAACGCTCCTGCTGCTGACTGGCCTTAGATTTGATTAGAGTTCTATCTAGGTTTAGGTTACCGGATCCTGCGCTGGCTCGTAGCTGGTTGTGGCTGCTGTTGTTGGTGTAGACCTCTCGGGCCCTGCTCACCGTTAGGCTCGACGACCACGCCCCTTTCTTCACAAGGGGCCCGTCCACAAGACCCAGTGGCAGCAAGGGACCACCTCCTCCACCGATACCGCCACCGCTGTTATTGCTGCTACCACTAACTGGCACACATGCTGACGACGCTGCATACTTCACATCGTTGTTGCTCCGGGAGGCTTTGAGTGCAGAATGGTGGTGTGAGTGGCCATGGTGTGCATGGGGGTGTGTGTGCTCATTGAGTGTGCCGTAAGGGTCCATCATGAAGTACTGCTGGGACTGTGAGGAGGAGAGACTGGGGAGGGGAGTCTGGGGGAACTTGTCTGGGTTATTGCCGGGATAGCGGCCCATTGTCATGGCGATGGGCGAAGGGGAAATGGAGGGTGAGGGTGAGGGTGGAGGTTGGTGGTGGTGAGGGTGGTAGAGACACAGCTCCCGTTCCAGGTTGTCATCTGAGCTCCAATATCCGGAGCCCGGAGCAGATGCTGAGCCGTGGAGCTGGTGGTGGTGGTGGTGGTGGCTTCGATGCTTGGGCTCCGCTGATCGACAGCGCTCACGGCTCTTGCTGCGCTTCCGGTGGCGCACTCCCACTGGTGGAGTTTCACCTTCTGGGCTGGCCCTTGAACCACCACCACCACCTCCTCCACCACCACCACCACCACCATTAACGCTCCCATTATTGGCCCCCTTGGAGGACTGTGTGTGGTGTGGCCCCTCCAATGAATGTGACTTGGTGAAGAGTTTTTGGACTGAGTGGACCAGGTGGCGAATTCTCCCTGGGCTGTCATTGTTGTTGTTGTTGGCCCCCATCCCCCCACTGTGGGCCAAAACTCCTCGTTTGTACTGCAGTGTATGGTAGCCATCTCTGGAAAATGATGGCTGACGCTCAAACGGGTCCGCAAAGTTTGCTGGTACCCGGGTGGGCGTTTTACCTCCATAGCCTCCTCCACCTCCTCCTCCTCCCCCTCCTCCTCCTACATATGGTACCATGGCCATACACTCATCCTTTACCTCAGGATGGTGAGATGAGGAGGTGGAGTGGCACCTCCTTGGGAAGGTTCCGTATGGGACGATGCTGTTGCTGTCAGAGGGGTACGAGGTACGTTGAGCATTGTAGTAGGACAGCTCAGCTGGATGCGGCATGGGAATGGGCACAGGAATGTCATTCTGACTGATCAAATATGGCTTGCGGTCAACATGGTGACCCAGTGGATCATATGATGGTTCATAGGAGACCACTTGATGGTGACTCCGACTACTGGACAGGCCTTTCATGACAGGGGAAAGGATGAGTGGATGGAAAGAGGAATGATATGGATGAGAGATGCCAGGCAGACCCGTGACCAGAGAAGGGCTGCAGAACACAGTCCCTGAGAGGAGAGCTGCAGACTCTGGAAGACAGGGAAGAGAGAGGAGCAATAAGACAAACAGTTAATACAACGCAACAAGTCCAATGAAAAACAAGTTATACCATGGGAATGATATAGAATTCAATTAAATGTAACAAGACAGGGCCCTCTGGGTTTTAATTATAGCATTCCTGTGTGCCCCAGAGTCATGTTTTAATGGGACCAAGGTCTTCTCCCATGCCCTCCTCCAGAGTTTGATGATCCTCAAAGGAAACCAAACAACATAATCCACTAAAGATGAACAGACCATTGGGAAACTGGAAGATAGCAGGTGCATACATAAAGAAAACCAGCATGGAGGAAAAATGTTTTGACTAATTTATTTTTACTTTTCATTGTAATTTTGACTTCAGTTTCATCCACCCACCAATCCATCTACTCATATAGCTGCTTATTGTGTGTAGCATTGGTGTAACTGGATTCTATCCCAGACTACATTGGGTGACAGGGTAGACCCAAAACAGGTTGCCAGGCTAGGCTAACACACATTTTAGAGTCTCCAGTTAACCTAACCTGCATGTCTTTGGGCTGTAGGAAGAAACCAGAGCACCCAGAGCAAGGCACATGGAGAACATGCACACTTCACACAGAACGGCTTGGGGATCAAACCTAAAATTTGCTTGCTATGTGGCGACAGTACCAGCCCCTGAGCCACCCTATGTCAATGTGAGTTGTGCTACATGATGTTACCAAAAGAAAAATGCAGTGGTTCCATTGGGTGTGTGGATGAAGCTACCAGGCTACCAGTTATTCTTTCAGACAGAAAACAGAGGCAAAAGGCAAAACAACTATTTTGTTAGCAGTCAAAACCCAGCAAACTGAAAAAGCGAGAGGTTGAACCAGCCAATTCTAGCACTACCATCCAAACAGACTTGGTTTCAGTCCAGTAAAACTCAACATACACAGGCCGCAAAGAGGTGACAGATTAAAAGTGGATGTCTTTTTCCAGTTTGAGGCCTGTCAGTGTGCTAGACAAAGACATCCATTTAGCCTGCACTTACACAGTAGTGCAGGTAACAGTACTGTAAGAAGTCCCCTCTCTGACCTGACTATATAACAGTGAGTGCACATCCCAGGCGACTATGGGAAAAGGCTCCAGGGATCAGACTGCTCGCAAGGCAGTTTTATTACAGATGAACAGACATGCAGGGCCACAGTGTTGGTGTGTATGCTGAATGCATGGCTGTGTGTACTTCTTGTATATGTGGTATAGGTACGTGCGTGGGTGCATGTGTGCATGCGTGCGTAAGTTTCCTCTGTCCTACTTGGCCCATGACACTACTGCTTAATACAACCTGACAGCTCCACTGGTAGGAGGGCCGGTAACAAGCTACAGTAACTCCCAGTGAGCTGGGATAAGCCACACACACAGGCTGAGATCAGTACAGCCCCCACTTTCCCTCTAAAGATCCATCAGAATAAATCCAAAATGTTGGACTATGATTTTTCCCTATCCTCAAATGCCATAGTTGCAATGCATAGATATTGTTTATCTTAATTTATTATGGACCAGTGTGCAGGCTAGCGACATCTAGCGGTTAAGCTGAGCATTGCAACTGATACCACTGATACTTCAATCAGAAATATTAACCCCCTCACCTCAAAAGACATTATAGTGATGTGGATGAAAGATAATGACAATAAATGAGAAAAAAACGTATTAAACAAAAAATATTTATTGATACATATTTGAGTTATTTGGACAACAGAAGTTGACTTAACTTTGAAGTTCAAATTAAAAATGTAATTCTTAACACGTGCATGTGCAGTATTATTCAACCCCCAGCTTCAGTACTTTGTGGAGCATCCTTTAGCTTTTATAACTTCTAACAAACGTTTTCAGTAAGTACTGACAAGCTTCTTAAAACTCTCCATCCAATGATCACCAAGGTTTAATTTGTCAACAGAATGCATCACGTTACTCTTTAAAATGGCCTGGTATTTCTGGGAATCCATGATGCCAGGTACACGATAAAGATTGGCAGTTCCTGCCACAGAAAAACAGCCCCACATCATCAATGACCCACCTCCACATTTGACCATGGGAATGGTATTCTACTGGTCATAAGCCTGGTGTTTCGCATGCCAGACATACCGCTGGTCCATATGTCCAAAGAGTTCCAGTTTGGTTTCATCAGTCCATAGAACTGTCTCCCAAAACTCTTTGTAGTCTTATCACCCAAATTCCTCCTGGCAATATTGTAGTCGACTTTTTGGATTTCCTTGTGTCAAGAGTGGAGTGGCGTATTGGAGTCCCATGAATCTTCTGTTTATTCAGTGGCACAGTTCTTATTGATGCCAACTGAAGCACTTGTCCAGCCTTAATCAGGTCATCCTGAAGGTTGTTTCAGTCACACAGGGGTTTCTCTTAGTTGTTCCTGACTAAAGTATAAGGGCCCTTGCATGAAATGTTGGGCTTTCTTCTCCGGCCAGGCAGGTTTGCAACTGTTCCATAAGTTTCCTTTAACTTCCTTATAATGCTGCCAATGGTGTCCATTACATTTTTGGGAAATCTTATACCCAAGGCCCCTTCAGGTGTGATGAAATAATCTTCTCTCAAAGCTTTTATGGAAGCTCATTTGTCTTTCCCATGATTGCAACTCACCTTCAATACCTTCATGGGTGGGGTTATATATGCATCACAGCTGAAGCAAATGAAGGATCCCAAAGGCCAAATTATGTTTCAACTCCACTTTAGGCCATAAAAACTGTCAGACAGCTTTAAAAACAGCAAAATTATACAGGGGTTGAATAATTGTGACATGGCTATCTTAACAAAATATACTCTTACACACAAATACTACATCATGCATTTTCTGTGTTGATTTTATGTATCACTCAACTCATAAAGAAGTCATCCGAAGCAGAATCTTGCTCTTGGAAAAAACTTTAATTGATAAATACTTCTTTGGGGGGTTGAATATTTCTGATTGCAACTGTATGTAGTTGAAACTACAGTGGCCTTAAAACTTGCAAAAGGCCCAATCAATAGCCACCGTTTAGTTTGTGCGTTCTGGGCTACTGTAATATATGGCGGACTCAATAGAAGAGGATCTACTCCCTCTGTAGATAAAACCAGCTCATTCTAAGGTAACAAATATATATATTATATAAGTGTTTGAATGACAGAGTGACCTATAAACATAAAATCCACTCCTGGATAACACCTGGATCAAGTTAAACTGCATTTAAAGATTAATCTCCCACAGTTGAGCAAGAAAGGTTGTCTGTGGGAATCCATCACATCTCTTTTGACTGAAATTAAATCGTGGCCTTACACAGTAACAAGAGAAGAGACCACAGGCTTAAGATACATCTAATTCAACAGACTTATGTAATGGTAGTGTAAATTAACCATCATTACTTTCTCCTCTTTGAATAAATGTGTCCCTTGATTTGGAAACACTGGATTGAACAATGGGTGTCTGCTCTATGGACAATTATGGGTAGGAAGTCGTGAATTACTATCTCTCACTGAAAAGACATTGTACTCACAACACTGTGTCTAAAAATAAAACTTTGTGTGAGGAAGTGATTCACTTCAAATGATGTGTTAGTGAAGTCAGACATTACTGTACAAGGACCCAAATAGCGGGCTTAAATAAGAAGCATTTCTTTTTTCTACTAACAGCTATATACATCTGATTACATCAAATTTGACTTTATGAAATAACCTAAGCAAATACTTGAATAGCTAGCTAACTACAAAATAGCTGGAGGAAAGTCATTCTAAATATAAGTACTGTTTTCCTCTATTTGGATGGCAATGGCCATACTGAGCACATCAGCAAAGAACATCTGAGGAAGTTTCCTGCAGAAAAGTGTTAGTGTTACAGCTTCCCTCAAGGCAGTGAAAACAAGTCATTTACAACCACAAATCAGAGGGTTGCCTTTAACGATTTTGACTATCAATTAAAGCTGCAGTACGTAATTTTTATACAAAATGTTTTGTCATATTTGCTGAAACTTTCACTACAAAACTATTTTATTGTGTTTTATTGCTTTTTTAACAGATACAGACAAAAAAGATTTTCTACTGTGATTACCTTAGACCTCACCCAATTAGAGCTAGGTTATAGGTTATAGCTGGAACATGTTTAATATCAATGTCATACGTGTTCTTGCATGTGCTAGTTGTATTAGCATCCACAGACTCCTCGTCACCTGTGTAGGTGTCACCATGCCGTCTTACCAGGTGAGTGTTAAGATCTGTTGTGCTACCACTGGATTTAATTGCTGTCCGACAGATCTTACAAATGGCTAGACTTTTGTCCAAATGGCCAAATCATCAATTATGTATAACTAATCCAACAATCAGAATGTGCTTCTGCTCCTTCAGTTGTGAATAGCAGAGACTGTGGATCATGTGGGGTGGCTGCTGTGATTTAATAAAAACACAAAACATAGATGTCAATCAAAAGCACTGATCATAGTGTTTGCCATAGAAATCCATGTTCAATTCTCAGCACAATTGGCAGTGGGTGGGAAACTGGTGCAGGATCACGGCATTATAAAACATCTAACAGAAAGAAGACAACCAAAGCCACTAATTAGTAGAAGACCAGAGTGCGAACTAGTGTCATCCAAACCTGATTGTTATCGTGCTGAATGTAGGCTAAGTCAAATCAGATATAATCAAATACATCTGAAAAGCAAGAACACTTCATTGGCTGTACTGGAAATTAGCAACAAGATTAGCACAACAGACACTTGGAGAAGAGGCTAGAAAAAAGAAGGTATGTGAGGAGAGGTACGGAGGTAAAAGGGTGGACGGGAACAACTCCACAAGATTATATAGGAGAGATAAAAAACAAAAACAAATGAGAGATTGACAGCTGAATACCCCCCCCCCGGCACTCGTCTTTTACCACCACCTCCTGCTGCATTTTTCAAAGAGCCATATGTGCCAGGCAGGCTGGGTTGATGCTGTGTGTAGGCGGAAGGAGAAATGAAAATAGGGCTGAGATCAAGTTA